GTTCTCATACTCCCGGACATACGGTGCATCTGCTACCCCCGTTCGCAATCCGTGGGTCTAGTGCGCAACTGGCATAACTGATGGTCCTCTGCAATACTCAAAAGTGGCAATGAAGTCAAGGATCTATCGACACACCAACCGGTATCCTAGAGACCAATGATTTGGTGTTTCCACGCACAAAGCAAACCAATAGCACATAATTGCAACCCAAACACTGCGCATTAGATAATGCATATTGCACCATTTAAGATAAGTGTTTGGCAGAAAAGGTGAAACGAAACCCCAAGGGGAAAACATCATTTTTCGCGGTCCTTTCACACGATCACTATTGATGACCGATTTAGTGATGAATGGTTTCAAAAAAACATAAATGTGATGTTATAATCATGGCAGCCAATACTGAACCGAAACCCGCACCATTTCAAATATTAATTCGAACAGAAAGGACGTGTAGAAATTAATTACCAATATGAATATGTCAATTGAATAGGTTTGCCAGAGATACGGCTTATTTTATAGCTGAAGAATATAGGATTCAAGTGTACCTCACAAATAATATTTTGTGGTTTTGAATACCGGTTACTTTGGTCTCGTGTACAGCCCAAGTTGTTTACCTCAGTGGCAAATCTCTAAATAATCTGATTCCAATTGTGTTTCATGCTGTACAAATCAAAAGAAATGTGACTTGAAAAGCTTTGGAACAAACAGCAGTTGTTTTTATCTTTTTCAGTCTCAGTTTTTCTTTTTATGAAGAGTATTGTGCTATGAATGTGTGACCCACAGACTGGTGTAAGACGTGCGTGAAATGTATGTATATATATACATATATTATCAGTCTCATCAATAGTAAAAATCTCTCATCTCAAATGAACCGGTTGAACTCGAGACTTTACAGATAGAAAGTAAGCTATATCGTTCATACACTAATTGAAACTGTCTGATCACCCACACAGTAGTAGAATGTCTAATATATCTGCGTTCTATAAGTGAGGCAACGCATTTGGCCTGCTCGGTAGGACTGATAAATTAGCGCTCCTGATGGAACTCATCAAGGTCGAAAATGCTGCAACTTGCTACTAAGGTTTTCAAAACACGTTTCTTCGCCTTTTATAGGATGAAATTATGAATATAAAGACTTTTTGTTCGACCAATACTGTTCTTACTATCAACATTTGCACACCTCATTCGCATATCAGCTGATGCGGATTTTGTACCATATGGTTCATGATGGAATACTGACAATTAACGGACAGCGTGAACAACTGGCATGCGGTTGTGAAAAACGGAATGGTTGATGGCAATTACAATATTATGCTCCACATGCAGTCGAGTGTGAAACGATAATAGAGGGCGCCTTGGCTAGAGCTAGTCATGCGAATATAATTCTCAATCAAAGAATGCCTGTTTAAACTAGCTGGTATGTGGACAAATAGACAACTAGGATACTGAATGACCGAAAGAAATCCTCATCCAAAAAGAACACTGTTCACTGTACTATGATGAAAAAACAAGTAAATAATTTGTTTAGATCATTGATTTTGCCAACAGTTATTACAACAACGATAATCCTTAAACTGAGTTTGACCTGGCATGAGAATGTTCAATTACGACCCACGAAAAATTCCGTGGAAGACACAAGGACATATGCAGTAGACCTGTGAACCGATGCAATGGATCATAAACATCCCGTGGGCGCTTTCTGCTTTCAATTACTGATACTGTCGCGCGCGATCGCTTCAGTTTAGTGCACTTTACACGATTGAGAACTTTGAACTGTCTTGAGGCAGGTTTGGTTGTTGTTTTGCAGTTGAAATTTTGGTCGAGCATTAACGAAGGGAGTGAATGCAAGAACTGAAAACAGAAAGTAGCACTGAAACAAAATGCATATATAAAAATGCGGAGGAGTTACGCAACGTCTTTCGAGGAGTGAGAACATCGTGAAGAACCTAATAGGGCACTTTCTACTCAAGTAGCATGTCAAAAAGTTTTGCGTTTCTTTCTAGAAGTGAATAAAAGTGGTGGGGTAGCAGATCAACACGTTTGTTGCGAGATTTCTGAATGGACTGTCTTCTTTTTGCAAACTCGTGTACGGTAGATGGACCAAAGGTAAACCCTATTTTTTCAGTATGTGTCAACTCCGAGACTAACGCTGAGCCTCCATCCTTAAACGCTGATGGGAACAGCTCATCTGGGCCAGAGGCCTTATGCGTTTTGAGATAACTTATTTTCCGAGAAACCTCCATTTCAGGTGGAGGACTAGCATTAACTGGGAGTATTTCTCCNCTCCAGTTGAGGCGGAGAGTGGAAGATAAGATGTCGATGGGGGACAGTTGAACTGAGTCTTGAAGTGTTCAACCCAACGGTCAAGACGGCGTTGCTGACCGTGAATCAGTGTGCCATCGGATCCCTTAATTACCTCACGCCTATTTTCCTAGGAGCTTTGGGCGGGGTCCGACGTTGTTCCTATCGATATCTGCATAGCTTCCTTGATTTGCTTCCAGTGTTCATTGAGTCCTTCGGCTGGCGGTTGAACTGAAAGGCGATCGGAGAGCTCCGCTTTGAAGGCCGATTTGCATGAATCACTGACTCTGTATCGCGGATATCCGTTGTCGGTGGCTTTTTTTCGGTTGTTTGCCAGGCGTAAGGAGAAATTGACTCGTAACACGGCGTGGTCTGTCCACAGCTGTTGACTAGTAAGAGCAACAGTCTTGAATTGATCCTCTCTAGGGGTAACTGATGGCGATGTATTAACACGGAAGTCAGAAGTCATCTGTAGATGATGAAATTGTTGTGTAAATGAGGCATGAGCTGAAAAAGCTAAGAAGCACTGGACAGCTGTTTCGACCTGGTTGGGTTTCATCAGCAGTGCAAATTCATCGATCCAACTGAAGATTGAACCGGGCTCCCCACAGGTAGAAAGCAAGCATACTATGCACTCGATCATCGGGTAGTTGATAAAACCGATTCTCCTTTTAAATATCCACGATACAGCACAACCCATCTTTGTGAGCTTGTTGCGAACTCAGATCATGCCACATTTGCACGACGAATTAGCTATCTGATCAAGTCAAATCCTCCATGTCTCCAGGAGAAAGTTATTTTTACTGTTTTCGTTATCGTTTTTCTAATGCCATGATGGGAATATTCAATGGACTCGTGACAATTATCAGTCTACTTATCGTATAAATCAAATGGTATCAAACATTCTATTCCGGGTGGTCAACTCTGGTTCTCATTTGACCGCACAGAAAAACGTTTGCAAAAATATTTTCCTGATTACTGTAGCATGTTTGACGATTTTGCCGAAAGTTAACTGTCACCTATTTTA